AGGAAATCCTGCTTTCTAGTGAATCTAAATCATGTCGCACAGCTGTCTTCCCCCCCTCTGCCTCACTGTTCTACTTACCTTTGCAGCCTCAGAAAAAGGCTTCTTAGCACCTGTGGTATGCACAAAGTGCATGTTTGCCGCACATGAGCATGAAGTGCACATGTGCACGTGAAGCAAACCGGTAGGAGACTTCAGAGTATTTCACCCCTGAATTAAATTAAGGCAGATCATTCACAAAGGTGCTTACAGGCTACGTCAATTACTCATTATTTTTTTATGTTTCGGTTAGAAGAGCATCAGACGCATCTCTGGGAAAAGTTGCTTTCTTGCTCTTTGCTGCTTGTTGAATTCTACTCTGCTGGCCTGTGATCAAATGCAAAGAGTGTGTCTGTCTGTCTGTCTGTCTGTCTGTCTGTCTGTGTGAAAATATTCCACTGTGCTCCTAAATCTTTTCCTTCCCCCTCCTTAATCTTTTTACCGTTCCTTCTTCTTTTCCCCCTCTGCACTTCCCGATTCCTCACTTCCTCCATCCCAGCACAGAGTATGTGGAACGTTTCAACCCCAACGTCCTGAAGGATTCTGCCCTCTCCACGCACAAACCCATCGAGGTGAAAGGCCCCGGGGGCAAAGCCACCATCATTCATGCACAATATAACACCCCCATCAGCATGTATTCTCAAGATGCTATCATGGATGCCATTGCAGGCCAAGCTCAGGCCCAGGGTGGTGAACTTGCTGGGTAAGATCCCTTTTTTTTCTGTATGTACCTGCTGTGTGTGTTACAACAATTGCCTCCTCTTATCCTAAGCAACAGAGGTGGGATAATTTGATGGAGCAAGTTGGCTACCTACCATCATGGGGCATGAAATCCTTTGAAAGCATCTCTGGATATTTTGCAAGATACCCTAGTAGTTCCATTCCTTTCTCTAACGCCAACATTCTGAAATATTCTGCCAAAGCCACACCAACGGGGCAGTGGGCCCATCACTCAGTGTTTCTAAAGCTGTGCAACAGAGAAGGATCAAGGGTGACACGAGAACAGTTTTACACTATTTGAAGGGCTGTCACCGAGAAGAGGGTGGGTCGGTCTATTCTACAAAGTCCTTGAGGACTGGGCGAGAAGTAACAGATGGATAGGCTTCCAACTTATCAAAGAAAGAAGCATCCTAGAACTAAGGAGGAATTTTCTAACAATTAACCAGTGGAATGGTTTGCCTTCAGAAGATGAAGGTACTCCCTCAATGGAGGTTTTCAAGAAGAGATGTGGAAACCATTTGTCCAGAATGATTTAGGGCCATGATGGTGAACCTATGGCATACTTGCCAGAGGTGGCACACAGAGCCTTCTCTATGGGCACACGCTCCATCACCAGCTGCTCTTCTGATTTCCGCCCCATGCATGCACACCGGCCAGCTGGTCTTCAGATTTCCAGAACTCTGGGGTACGCAAAGACCAGCTGTCTGGCATCTATGCGCCTGCTGGAAACCAGAAGACCAGGTGGCCGGAGTGCGCGTGCACGCCGGTCAGTTGGTCTTTGAGTTTTTTGGGCTCCAGTGAGCATGAAAATCATCTGATTGGCATGCATGCATGTGCTATAAACCCAAAGATCAGCTCGCTGCCGTGTACATGCACATCGGCCAGCTGGTCTTGGGGTTCCCAGTACTCCGGTGCACGCAAAGACTAGCTGGCTGGCATGCATGCATGTGCTAGAAACCAGAAGACCAGGTGACCAGAGTGTGCATGCACACAGGCCAGCTGGTCTTTGAGTTTACAGGACTCGGAGGTGCGCACACACGGATCATGCACACTCATTCCAGTTTGGACATTCAGTGCCGAAAAGGTTTGCCATCATTGGCATAGAGTCTCCTGCCATGGGGAGGGGCTGAACTAGATGATCTCCAAGGACCCTCCCACCCATAATATTCTATGTTCAATAGAGTTGGAGAAATGGTTAAAAAGATGGGACTGAGCTACGACATAAAAATGATGTTCTACTTCCTTTGTCTTCCCTTCTTACAAATTGCTCCTCCCTCCCATTTTCTGATAACATGTTTTTTTTTCGTTTACTGGATTTGTACGCAGCCAAATCTGAGAAGACATATGGTGGCATTGTGGGAACAATTAAAATTTCCCCAGGGTAATGTAAACCTAAACATCTGCTATACAACCTAAAATATGAAACCATAAAAATATCCTCATAAGTAAAGTGAGAGTAAAACAGCCAAGAACCAACCATAAAATCTCCTCTAGCGTTCTAATACAATCGTTATACTAAAAGCTTTTTTTAAAAAAAACCATTCCTTTTGTAGGCTGTAACTGCCAAGGCTATCATATCCGTTTCTTTATTTTCTCAGTCTATTAACAAACTCATTCATTTAAGCCAACACTTGTGTGCATCTAATGTTTAAAGCTAGAGAAAAGCTAACATTATTGACAGTTAAGTTTTATGGGAAAGCAAAGAATGTTTTTGTGGTATTCCGATGAAATGAACAGATCTGCTTATTTTACATTTTAGACCCATTATGTACATGTGCTTTATTTGGTAGCTTTCTTAGCAGCTTATCTTGAGATTTATTTTCTATTTGGGATGGTTATCTATTACCTTTCCATCTAGTACCTATGGAAAGGAAATCTCCACCATTTCTCTCCACCCATTCATCCAACCTTTCTTTTATCCATCCATTCACCCATCCTTTCATCCATCCATCCTTTCATCCTCCCATTCGTTCTTCCATCCATCCATTCATCCTCCCACCCATTCTTCTATTCTTCCATTTATCCATTCATCCATCCTTCCGTTAACAATCCTTACGTCTATCCATCCATCCATCCATCCACACACACACACACACACACACACACACACACACACACACACATCCATTCTTCTGTGCAGCTACTTTGTGTACCTTTGAGTGGTTTCCCTTTTGTAGCTTCCTGAAATTTCATGTGTCCTTCTCACTTTTGACATGGAGAAAGGAGGATAACCAGTACCAACAAATACGCAATGGTATAACTTTACTATTTCTTTCAATTTTAAACATGTGTGCAGCTTGCAACCAATATGGAATAGGAAGAATTGCCTCTGGTGCCTTTGAGGCCGAGAAACTTCCTAGCCTCTATTTCCCTTTGTCGCATTTTAGCAAAAATGTTGATATTATGCAGCCCTGGGGAAACGATTTTAGTACCAAATGCTAATGTTTAAAATTGAAAG